CCTTATTTTGGTTTGCTGATTTACAATTGATATTATTATTATTATAACTATTATTATTTTAATTGGGACTTTGACACAAGGTTAGAAAAAGACTGCTTGTTTTTGTTCGTTTTTGTGGATACATACCTCGTAAATATATATAAATATAAATATATAAATATATTTTTGGGATTTTTAATTTCCCTTTCAGGTTGTTTTTCCCCTTTGTATTTTCCTCTCTGTAATATAGGCTGATGTGGGTATATCTGGAGAGGCAGCATGTTGGGTCATATACAAAGACATTTCGTAGAAACCATCCAACCCCAAGCAGAAGGTGAAAGTTTGTTTGCTCTTACACTGGTTCTTTGTTTTCCCATTTTCACTCCCTTTATCTTTACATGAATCAGTCTCCTCATAACTCCCACTTTTTGAAGCTCTATATTGAATGTTTCCACTCAAATATATGCAGGCCTCTGCCATGGAGCAGCCCACTGCTTTGTGTCTTTTTTTTTTTTTTTTTTTGGGTCAGGAAGGGCTTTTCGGCACAAAAGAGCTTGGATATGAGGCACATGCTTCAGAAATGTCATGCCTTGGTGCTCATGTAGGAAAAACAGGTTTGAATCCTGCCTGTGACCCTTTTTTCCCCAAATAATATAATCTTCTACTTTTGCTACCAAAAAAAAAAAAGTTGCAGAAAAACCAAAATATTCTGAATAACTTGCTGATGATGACGTCTATCAGTTATCACATGCTTTAGACATGTTGCGCCTTGGTGCTCATATAGGGTAAAACACATTTGAATCAAGATAAGTACACATCCTGAAAAGCGAAGCCAAAACATTTTGACCGCTATCTGGTGGCTGACTGCACTACAGGTCATAAACCCTGCCCTCTCCAAGTAAACGAATGGGACGTAAGCTAAGCTAAAAAAAAAAAAAAATCAAATTACTCTTAAATGTTTCCCAAAGATGGTTTCCGTCATTCTTATCACACTGATGTTTGTTCAAGTGTCTGTTTCTCTAATATGTTTGCTTTTAATTAGTTATTTGATGCTATAAAAACTGGGTGTGTTGTCTTTGGGCGGGACTTTGATATTGCTGCTCTACCTCACAATCACTACTGCACAAATGATGTCATTGGCAATACTGCGATGTTTTGGCTTCAATTTTCTATAGTGGAAGGAAGTGGAGATGCATCGTCGATCTTTTTTTACAGTCTATGGTTTGAATCCAAACAATGTCCTATCTTGTGGCAAAAAAAAAAATGTAGCAGAACCCCCCCCAAAAAAAGAACAATAAACTAACAAACTAAAGTGAGTATTTGGTTGTTTTGAAATAACTGTTATTTCAGATCAACCAAATTTAATTTGTATTTTGTGAATTCTTTGGATAAAGTTGTTTTAAAAGGAACACAGGAGTCTTTATTCTTATAAATCATCACCTGTTGTTTTATTATCTTGGTAAGCGTCTCTCATAAAGCTCATTACAGTTAATAAAATACATCTGGACCCGTTTGCCTTGGGTCGTGCAGCCCAACCCCTCCCCCCATATATGCAGGCACATTCCTCATGCAAATAAATGGACATGCAGGAAACCCCAAAGTCCATCAAAGTTCCTACTATCCATATTCATACCCCCTGACTTAGGTAAAGAAAATAGAAACCAAAGTATTCTATTGTGTTATAAACAACGTGCCTCTTCCCTATTCAAGCAAGTGCACGTTAGTAAAGATGGACAGATGGCTCACGTGCCATGCGTGTCCTCATCAAACTAATAAAACGAGATGATATCTGTATGGTTCCAAGAGATGTGCCAAATTATATGGCAGCTAGAGAAAAGAGGTGACACTGGCTGCTCGGTTTTAGCCAGTCTGTTGCTGGTCATCAGATATCAGAGATGCTGAGGTGATCTTCATTACTGAAATCCATAATCACACGGTGGTGAGAAACTAATTCAGTTTGAGGTGTTTCTGCTTCCGTGGGCACCAGCTGCAAGAATAATCTGTGAGGTTCCCTTATCAGGACAGCAGAGAAATACATACATAAAATCATTCAAATAAATAGAACAGTGAAATAAAAGTGCAGTGCTCTCTACTGTGATATATGACCAACAGCTTTTGATAAGTATTGTGAACGCTGAAAAATGGGGAGCGCTATAGGATGTTTTGTATATGTTTAATGAGAAGGCACGCTGGCAGGATGGCTAAAGCTGTGTATATGTGTTTATTTCAGTTGTAGATATGCTAACTTCTCTGGCTGTTTATTAGGTGTCATGCCAAGCTCTCAGAACCCTGCATGGGCTGCCCAGTATCTGACATGCCGACCCCTTCATAGTCTGACTGCTAAATATGATTACTGTTTCGCATGTTACAATGATAGTAGTTTGACCATTTTGTTCCAAGTACGGTATTCTGATAATTGTCTTAAGTATGCCTTTTATGACTTCTTTTAAAGGAGATAGGAGTAACTTGGGCAACAGAACATGACTTATTAGGCTACTATATACTAAAGTGCTTTGCATATCATGCATGGTGTGTGCAGGGTCAAAAATTAACACTTGCCAAGTGCAAATGTGAGTAAATTGGCTTTGGTGAGTAAATGAAACAGCCAGATGGCTGGTAATGCTTTTAGTGATTTCAACATATAACGGTATTTTTTTTATTATAATTTTTTTTTACACTGTATGAACAATAGTTTTGGCTGCTCTGCAACTTGAACAAATCCATTCGAAGCAATGCAAGTGAACATTTGAACTTTTAACTCAATGGGAAATGTAACATCAAAACTTTAGTTTTCTTTTATTGTCATAGCTCCGGAAATGTGGCGGCACATTTGTGACATTTAAACCACTGAAATGAAACCAAATTATAAAGAAAATCGAGAGGAGTTTTTTTTTGTGATGGGTGGCTTAACTGTGATACTGTGAGCGACACAATGTTCTGCGCTAGTTGCTGCAACTATACAAGGGACAAAGTGCTAAATAAATCATTTGTGATTGGGAATATATATATATATATATATATATATATATATATATATACACACACACACAATAGAGATCAAAATTAGAGAACAACCTACACTTTCCTAAATTTCAAGGTCACCCCTTAGTCCTATTTGAAGTCATTCTAACAGGAGTAGAAGGGCAGTTTTTAAGCATATTTCATTAATTAATCGTATTGTGAAGCACAGTATAAAGACTTACATGAGATATTTGAAAAATAATTCTGATCAAAATTAGAGAACACTTACAGATACCTCCAAGTTATTGGTGTTACTCTGGCACCTGGTGCTAATTTCCTTAATTATATGACAACCCCTATTTAACTGGCAGCATTCCTCTAATTTTCACTGAGATTGCAAGATGACGGGCAGCTCTAAGGTGACTGAAATCCTGCGACAGAAGGTTGTCCAGATGTAGGCCAAAGCGATGACCCTTTCAGCCACTGCACGAGAAGTTTGTCGTTCCAAATCTGTACTTTCTTGAATATTGCATCTTTAAAATGACACTAATTGATTCAAGTCCCCCAAAAAGGCTGGTTGTCCACGTAAGACAAATGCACTAGAAGACAGGATAATGCAGAGACTCTCAATGGGGAATCGATTCAACACTGCATCTGAAATTGCTCGCCAGTGCTGAACAGGGTATGGATCTGACTCGGCACATTTAAGAGAAGTCGTACTGAAAGCGTAATCTGTAGTGACCAAGCCTCTCATCAGCAGAAAGAATCAAAAGGCTAGACTAACCTTTGCTGAGGAGCATGTTGTCAAACATGTTAGTTGAACAGTGGTATACCCACAGCTAATATTCTTTCAAATTTTGAGCAATGAAGATTAACAGTATTTCAGAAAAGAACAAGTATTTGTAGATTGTTCTCTGTTTTTGATCTATCTATCTATCTATCTATCTGGACCCTGGTTGTATGTGTATATATATATATATATATATATATGTGTGTGTGCGTGTCAGCGACGTGTTACACTTTCAGCTTATTGATCATTTTCCAGAAGTGGAGGACAGGCATTTCCCAAGGTCTCCATTCTGACTGAATATGCAACTCATGATTCTTGTTAGTGAATGTGTTAAGTAGCCTGGGACAGTCTGGATGAAACAAATGAAGTATTATGGATAATGTGTTGTGACAGCTTATTCATTTACCAAATCTGGAAATTCAAATATGAACTCGATTTGCAAAGTGGGTAATTTGTAGAGTAAAAACATTGTTTTGGTAATACAGAGATAAGAAATACCACCTGACAATTCCTGTATTCTGTGCATGATTAGTGCACAGCCATGCAAGTTAATCAGTGCACTTTCACTTGTTATATTAAACTCCCATAGCAAGGTATGACCAAAGCAGGATCTTCGCAGTTCTGGTCACCATGCTTTATGTTGATTATGATGCCTGGGAAGACCCTAGAATGCCTTTAGAAGAGGAACTTCATGAAGTTGTGCTCGGAGGAGAGTGACTGACTGGTGTCAGGTAATGAGGTGCTCTCAAGTGTTGAATGCCACAGTGGCTCGCTTCCAAATCATAGTACGCTGCCTTATTGTAAGCTGTCTGTATAGGCAGCTACAATCTAAAGTAGCATTCTAACCAAAAAGGAACCTCATAAATGACTGAATTGAAACCGTTTTCATTGGTAGCAATTGTCCCTCAACCTGACAAGTTCCCAAACCCAGTCTAAAAACCATCAAAGCTTGAACTTGTACCACCTGATCGCTGCAACATCATGTGGGAACACTCAAAATAACAGTGTAGTTTTTCTGTAATACTTATGTCTAATAATTCTCATAATTGACTATGACTTAATACAAGAATAATTAGAATAACAGTAATTACGGCATGGTATAAATGCAGCATTAGTCTCTTGTGTGTTTTTGTTTTATGTAACAAGTACGACACTCCTGGATAAAACTTTTCAATTAATGCATTCGGAGATGTCTTATCCATGATGCATACATATAATAGTGACATAGATTTTAGCCAAAACAATGTATCTTTTAAGACAGCATCATTTTAGATGTCTGCCATTTGAAAAAGGTGTCAGTACCATGCCTAATTGCCTATGATACCTAAAAATGCTGTCTGTAAAAGTAGGCAGCTCACTAGGGTTTAGAAAAGAGCCACAAGCTATCCAATTACAAGAGTATCATCCTGAAGGAACAGCAATCAGTTTTGTCTGTCATTCAGAATGTAGGTGTGTTGGGGTAACTGCAGTCACAGCCCAGTTCACCACTCCCCTATTTGCTAAGTCAACTAATCGTAGTATTCATCTTTCAGTCTCTCACAGTGGCGGTCCCTCTTCATTTATGAAGCTGATATGCTCTGTGGAAGGCCTTCCTCCTGCTGCCCATTCTTGCATCTCAAACTCTAACTGAGGAGGTCCCGGCCTGGGGTTCTGCGGGGACTGTGAAGTGACAAAAGAGGCCTGGGTTTCTGGCAGGGAGTCCAGGAAGCAGGGCAAGGGTGGGGGGGAGGTGTGTGGACAAGAAGGGGAGGTGTGCGGACAAGAAGGAGGGGTGCACGGCCCTGGCTGGACCTGAGGGGCGGTGGCAGTGGAGGAAGGGGATGAGGGAAACTGACTGATTCCCAGCCTGTGGTCACCAGGGGAGTTACTGATTGAGGGTGGTGCAGAGCAATGAGACAGCGGTAGAGGTGAGGTGTCCTGTGAGGGGGGTCGAGGTAGCAAACCTCTGCTATGACTGGCAGGTCGGTGAGGACCCTGGCAGGGAGAGCAGGAAGTAGATTGGGAGCGGAAAGAAGGGAGCGAGAAGGAAAAGGTTAGAGATGGGGATAGGGGGTGGCTGGCTTGCGGTGGCTGGGCCGGAGCTGCCTGAGTGCCTTCCCCCTCCGTTTGGGCTGTCACTGGAGAAAGAAGGACTGGAAAGGAAGGTTCCCTCGAACAGCCTGCCTGAGCCTGTGCTTGGGGTCTCTGCGGCAAGTTGGTGGGTATGAGACAGCTGGCCAAGCCAATGCTCCCAGTGTCTGCGTTGTCCAATAGGGTGCAAGTAGATCTGAGTGGTGCAGACGATGTGGCTGTGGGCGAAGGAGCTGGTGGCGTGGATATTGTTGGACCGCTGCTACTGCTGGGAGATGGAAGCATTGTTGGCCTAAGGGCTGTCTGGAGAGGTTGAGATCCAATGACAAGCAAGGGCCGGAGGAGACGTGTCATTTCCTGTAGCTCTTTGCTCAGCTGAGAGACTTGCTGGGATAGACTAGTCATCTGTGAATGAGATCAGCAGAATGTAAGTTATGGAACATATAGTTCTGGCTATAAAATCTGACTGGATGTTCTTCATTCAAAACTATTCACATTAAACGATGTCCCAGGTACCTATTTCCTTATGGGTGTAGTGGCTGCATGTCTCTTGAATCATTCCGCTGTCACAAAATTAAGCCGTTTTAGGATATGAAGAGCTTTTCGCTTAGCATCCAGGTCCTGATCAATCTCTCTGGGTTTATTTTGCTATGTTGACCAGCTGACTCTTTACTATCTTGTACTTACTGAACAAAGATGTCTTTTATGATAGTGCTGTAGAGCAGCCTTTTTACAAAAATCAATAAGCCACTTGTCTTACACCCTTTAAAAGTGGTAAAATCAATGTAATGCATGGCCTCTAGTGGCTTATTGGTTTTGGTAGAGCCTGATCTACTTTTCACACATCTTCACAGATATAAAGGGATTTTATAACCTGCATGTTGAGTAATGTTGTAGTACTCAGGAGTTTGTCTGAGTCCAAGACCGTATTTCCATGGTCTTGGTCTTGACCCAGACTCGAGACCTATTCCGGTGCCGAGCACTAAAATTCTATCCACAGTGTTGTAGTACTTGAGACCGAAATTGGTCTGGAGGTTTGCGTCACACTGATTATATAATATAATTTGATTAATTCTGATTTTATAGTTTCATTTACCTCCTCACTCAGTTTGGTGATGCTCTGCTTGGTCTCCAGCTGCTCCTGGTTCACTGCACACAGATGCACACAAAACGAGGTAAGTTGTTATAGAGAGTGTTAAACATATTTTTTTAAGCAAACAGTGAGGGAGGCTTGGATGGATGAAGAAAACGGTTCCCTGGCCTTCTGATGCATATTGCACACAAAACTTGTAAGAGCTGCAATCTGATTGGCCAGCTTTAAAGTCATTGTGCATCGGAATTAAAGTTGCATTAGTAAAGTTCCCAGGCTGCTATGATGAATGATTGAGAGGGAAAAAAATTAATAAATTGATTTGCTAAGGTTTGTAAAGTTCAAGGTCTGTGGCATCAAAAGTCTTATCCTCAAAGGTACTGAAGAGTTTTGATTGAGACATTTAGTGGGACAAATATCTCTGAGCAGCAAAATATTCTGTATTGCTTTGAGGTTCATATCCAATTTCAGATGTACCAGCCCTAAATGTCACGTTAAAAAAAAATAATTGGCAGTTTTACATATTGGTCAGATGGTCCCTTCCTGTCTAAGTGGGCGTTTCTTGGACAGAATAAGCTGCAGAATAAGTCTGATTGTGCAAGACAGTCTATTTTTGGAAATATCACTTGATAATATTTCCTTTCAGAAATCGCATTCTGCTTTGTAGTTGTGTTTGTACCTGGGGAAGGGGATGGAGGACCGCTCTGAGGTAGGGTGGGACCGAACTCAAACCTTTGTGTTGAGCTGGAATTGCTTTCTGTCTCTATGCCGTCCACAAACCTGCAGAGACATCAGACAAATGCACTGTTGTACAGCTGATCAAGAGCTGGTAAGAGATTCATTCAGTGTGGTTAAAAATAACTGAAATAATAATATTAACAATAATATTAAAATAGCTTTAGTAACTTTAAAAAACTGTTTTCTATTTTAATATATTTTAAACTCTTATTTATTCCTATGATGATTTCTGAAGGATCGTGTGACATTGAAAACTGAAATAATGGCTGCTGAAAATTCAGCTTTGCCATCACAGGAATACATTCCATCTTAAAATATAAAAGTTATTTTATATTGTAATAATGCTTTACAATATTACTGTTTTTACTGTATTTTTTATCAAATAAATGCAGCTTTGATGAGCATAAGAGACGTCTTGCAAAAATATAAGATCTTAATTATTCCAAGTCATGGAATAGCTGGATACTTCTTCTAAATTATGAATCTGTAAAGTTCTTGTGAGAGCCACCAGAGGGCCGCAGCTCATTGAGGATGTGATGTGTATGTGTACCTGGGGCTGAGTTCTGGAGGGACGCTGCTGAAACTGACCACAGGGATCTGGAGGGTGGCGGGTCGCGTGTGGTCTGACGGAGGGCGGAAGGGGCGAGGGGGGAGGAGAGGCGATCGCAGGGGGGAGCTGAGGCCCCGGGTGAGGCGAAGAGGAGAACGTGGGGCCCTTGATACTGAGTGCTGCTCTTCATCATTCTCCTCGTCCTCACGGATAGCAGGAAGTTTCTTCCCCAGACCACCATTGCTTTCCCAGTCCAGCTGAGAGAGACAGAGCAGATTTAGTTATGTTTATGTCAGTATGAAACGCAGTAGATACACATGCCTTCGATCAGCAGAAGTGGTATAATTAGAGCTTGTGTCATAATATTTTACTACAGTACTTGCAAAGTAACACTGCTAATCTTTTTTATTCTTCACCTTGTACACCTTGTACATCTTAATTTTCTGATTCTGCTCATTTTTTATATAATATAATTTGAACCTTTTTAATTTCAGGTGTATTCTATTTCTGAGATGTATATCTTGGACATTTATTTTCTATTACACATCTCTCTGGAAAGCTTAATTTTGATGTGACCTAATATCTTTCTATGGACTCTTTCATGGTACTTATTAAAAACATGTTAACATAAATAGATATTTAATGTCTATGTACTGATTTATTTGATAAGTACAGTAGCTGTGTAATAATAACTGGGATAATGTACAGACAGTCTGTCTGTTTAATTCTGCAAAATAAACTCTAAAAACCCTTAATGGACAATGTCTTCTACATTTTAAAGGGGTCATATGATGCGATTTCAAGTTTTCCTTTCTCTTTGGAGTGTTACAAGCTCTTGGTGCATAAAGAAGATCTGTAAAGTTGCAAAGACTAAAGTCTCAAATCCAAAGAGATATTCTTTATAAAAGTTAAGAGTCAACCACGCCTACCTAAAACGGCTCGTTCTAACACGCCCCCACATGTCTACGTCACTATGTGGAAATATTAGGAACAGGAACAGAAGTAGTGTTGATGCAGCCATGTCAGGGAGACGCTGTGTGATTCAGTGCAAAAGCACTGTATTTGGCCTTCCGAAAGTAGATGCAATTAGGAATCATTGGTTAAGATCAGTGGTGGAAAGAGTACTGAAAAAATATACTCAAGTAAAAGTACCATTACCTTCCAAAAAATGTAGTGTGAGTAGAGTAAAATTACTTGTCCAAAAAACTACTTGAGTAAGAGTAAAAGAGTAGCCTATTTAAAAGTACTCATGAGTATTGAGTAGTGAGTACTGAGCTGTGGATTCTACCCCCTCATAATAAACGCTGTACACCGCAATTGATACATTTTAAAAACGTTAAAAGAAAATTAGAATAAGGATCATGTGACAGAAATAAATGACATTTTAAGATAGATTAGAAAAGTTGTTTTAAATTGTAACAATATTTCCCAATATTACTGTATTTTTTATCAAATAAAGAGATTTCTTTCAAAAAACATGAACATTAGTGTTCAAATCCTCCATTCATAGTCTTGAACAAAATGTTCACGTTCAAATTGGCAACAATCTGACTGCAATATCTGCATACTGAATAGTGGCCGGCCTTCTCACCTGCATTTATTTGCAAGCTAATTTGTGATCTTACATTCTTTAGCCATCTATAATCACTTTTCACTGTGGAATTGTGTTGAACCTAGGGTTACCTCTAACATTAACACTATTCTACTGCTACCTTGCAAGCATTAGTACTTCCTTCTAAAAATGCAAATCTAGGTATTAAAGAAAAATTTACATTTATAAAAACCATTCTTGGTCTTCAATAGCAAGTAAATCTGAAAATTCAAATGGGTAGTAAAGAGTCATGACCAGTGCGTGGCAGACTAACACAGCCTGTTGATTTTTCTTGCTCCTCTCTTCATTTCTACCATGTTTCTCCACCTCAACTTTCTGCATATTTTCCATTGCACTTTCTATTGTATTGTTGCACACAAAAACACTCTTCTTTGTAGAAGCTGAAATTGATTTCGATTTCTTCGTTGTTAACTCTCAGCACTGCATGTTCTTAGAATGTCATAAAAAATAATGGCTGCAAGCAGAGTAATCCTGCGGCACCACAGAAGAGGTTGCAGAGAGGAGAGGCGGCACTGTTTATTTTTGTTTTGTCAAAACACATAAAAGACTGTGTCAATCACCGTCCGTCGCTATAGGGTGGCAACACACACACAGCCCGCATCCCTGTATTACTAACAAACTCCATCACATAACCAAGAAGGAAAGAGACTGAAAAATAACAATTTGAGCAAATCTTAATGAACGTCTCCCCCTTCCCTTTCTTCCCATCCCTACATTTGCTCTCCCCTATTCAATTTGACTGAAATCTCTCCATCTTTATCTGCAATCCCCCTCCCATTCTCCGCACCCTGCCTCTCTCTTTCTTCACATCTTGTTTTTTTCCCCGTTGCTCTCATGATCTCCACCCCCACACTCCGACTGCAGTCCCACACCCCACCTAAAGCAGAATTTATTTTTAGCCATCTCCTTCCAATCTTAGTAACACAGACTCCAGTGGCACGAGGGGAGCATGTGTGCATGTGTATAAGATGCTTAAATTGGTGTTTCTACAGAAGTTTTCACTTTCTTTCCCTCCCCACCTCCAGAGAGCGAGAGAGAACGAGGTGTTTATTCGGGCATTTCCATGTCCCTCGAGTCGCCAAATTCAGTCAATCACAGCTAAGTATAACAAGAAAGAGAGGAAAGAATGCATTACCTTTTTCCTCCAAAGCCCTAGTGCACAAACACACACAGACAGTTAATAGTAATGCCCAGTAATCACATTTCTATTTTCACCAGCTATGCAATTACGTGCAAATGTATGTGTGAGTGTGCGTTCATTGGTATTCTCTGTGCATTCTGGGGTTGCACACATGTGAAATGAGCATTGATGCTGATCCGTTATGTCTCATGGCACAAACAAACTTGATTTTTAGGAAAATGAAGGAAATGAAGTGCTTGCATATGCAAAAGTTACTGCCAAGATGTCAAGCTATTGTTGCTGGTTGACGGGGCATTTCTATGCGGTTGCTAAGGTGTTTTGAGAGTGCATTGCTATACAGCCGATAGGGTGTTCTGGGTGGTCTAGGTCAAACAAATCCCTTCATAATGCTATGAGAAAATTGTATATCCGATTGAAAACCTCTCGATTTGAGGTAGGGTTAAACTGCAACAGTATCTCGTATATATTGACATATTATGTCCCTGCCACTCCACCAGCCATCGTTCGTTCCTTCCCTCTCTTTCTCACTTTATCTCCCTCTTTCTCTCCTCAAACACAGCAATATCTTTCTCCAGCTGGAGTGAAAGCTGCATGTGACACCTTGCAGAAGCAGCACTGCAGGAAAAAGTGAAAAGGAGAGAAAAGAGGCACCTCTCCCCCCCTGGCTGGGTCCCCCGCGCCTCGAGCTAAGATTGGATCCTGTAAGATAAAAATAGCACTGAAACGAGAGGCGCGGGGGACCCAGCCAGCATGGAGTCCCCGCCTTCCCTCTGTGCTATTCTTAGTATCGGCACATACTCCAAACCGCAGCATGCTGCTATTCCTGTCCTCACAAGTTATACTCAAGGCTGGGAGAATGCGCACGTGTGTGTGTGTGTGTGTGTGTGTGTGTGTGTGTGTGATCCCCCACGCCTCTCACTTCAGTGCTATTTTTATCTTACAGGATCCAATCTTAGCTCGAGGCGCGGGGGACCCAGCCAGCACGGAGTCCCCGCCTTCCCTCTGTGCTATTCTTAGTATCGACACACTCCAAACTGCAGCCTGCTGCTATTCCGGTCCTTGCAAATTACACTCAAGGCTGGGAGAATGTGTGTGTGTGTGTGTTTGTAAGAGAGGGGTCTCATGCACAGGCATATATGCATCCTGAAGGTGAGGGGGGAAGGGGCTTTATCTAAGTCAGGGAAAGGACACGGACTTCAAGAATGTGCAAGAAGGAAGGAAAGATGCCAAAGACAGCAGATGGGGATCCATTTTGTATTCTGCTGCTTGTGGATGTGGGCAATGCAGCGTTACACACACATACCTCCAGTCTGTAGATCACGGCTCATGAATTAATTGAGTAACTCGGAACTCTACATGCACAATTCACTATGGACAACTGGGTGTGCAGTAGAGGGTTACAGATTTACATTTCTTGCATTTTTATTCATTTGGCAAATGCTTTTTTCTAAAGTGACTGTTCACACCAGTCCGAATGTTCAGCACGAAAAGCATAAATACAACGGTTGCCCCAGTTATTACCATACACAAAGCAATGCTGCACAACTTTCTGTTTCTAATCTACTTGTCATGGAGAAGAAAGTAGCCTCAAACAGTATTTACATGGTTCCAAGTCTAGTTTTCTTTTCTTTTCTTTTCCTTTCCTATCTTTTTTTGTAATTAAACAACACCAGTACAGAGTATTCTTTTATATGTTGTAGGTTGGATTAAATGATTACAGAATTTTCATTTTTGGGTGAACTGTCCAAAAACTGTATGTATGTACACTGTATGTAACATGTTTCTATTTTTATATCTACTAAATAATTGTATAAGAAAAATCTAAAAGAACTGATACAGCAGAGAATATGAACCATAATGCTCATGAAGGCACTATTATCGTGTTTGTCTATTTGAATAATGCATTATTTATAGGACTCATATCAGCTCCACTGCACAACCGTACAATATTGATAATCCAGTCCTGCCCTGTACATTTGTGGCAACTGCCTCAGTCCCTCATGCACATGATTCGGGCTAAAAAAAGCACATGTACACACTGCTTGACCTTTACAGTCATAGATGTAGAATCAAAGGTAATACACTGGGATTGTCACCCTTTGCCCTGAATACCATCATGTATGCTTGCAAGCATCACTCACGTCAGCTCCACTGCCCTCCCGCAGGTTATAGGTTAGATCGTGCTGAATTTCGCTGACAAACTTCTGGGCGTATTCAGGATAGAGGCGCAGCACTTCACGCAGTCCCTTTAGGCTGATGTACTGCAGGTCACAATACGTCAGTGCTTTCACGTTTGCGTTGGTCTTGATCACCTGCTCTTTTGTCAGCGAGTCCGATCCAATCAGGTCTCCCTTTCCTGTTTGAGAAAAGCAGATAGAAGTTCATTTGTGGCTTAAACAGGCTTTGTCATGCAATATTCATAAATACACATTTAAAGTTGCATATGTATATTAGATCCTTCCAGTATTTTGTGTAAACGTATTCAGACAAGTAAACAAAGACAGAGTGTCAATCAAATTTAGACGCTAAAGTTCTAAGCAAAAGCTTTCTGTTCTAGGTTTGAAAATGAGACACAGGAGAGGCACACAAGGCAGCATAGAGGCTAAAAATATGTTCTGGTTTGGTGCAAAGGGACTATGAAAGCAGTGACAAATTCTGAAGTGTGCTAAAATGTCAGAGCAGTGCATTCTGGGGATGGCACACCAGTTAGCACACATTGGAGGCAACTGAGTTCAGCAGTGCTGGGAGAGATGGGTGGTAGACCATATGTGCATCTTTCATCAAGTAAGCAGGTGTGGTAATTATGCACGGAGTGTGTGTGTGTGTGTGTGTGTGTGTGTGTGTGTGTGTGTGTGTGTGGTTACATGTTTGTACTGTCATGTTTATAAGAGCTCTATGCATCTTATCTCTAAGATAACATGGCAGAACACAATGGCTGCAGTTTGTTTTGTTATCCTTTCTTATTCTCTCTTTTTGTTCTCTCTTTTACCGGTGTATGATACGTCGTGTGTGTGTGTGTGTGTGTGTGTGTGTGTGTGTGTGTGTGTGTGTGGTTACATGTTTGTACTGTCATGTTTATAAGAGCTCTATGCATCTTATCTCTAAGATAACATGGCAGAACACAATGGCTGCAGTTTGTTTTGTTATCCTTTCTTATTCTCTCTTTTTGTTCTCTCTTTTACCCCTTGTTCTCTTCTGCTTCTCTATATGAGCAAAAACATGATTGTCCATTGACAAAGTAGCCATGTATTCTGCCAAAACTGTATTTGCAAACTACGCATCAATCAAAAAAGTCAGAACATATAAAAAAGCAATGTGGTAGAAATCTTACTTGTAACTGTTCTGCATGCAAGGTCTGAACTGATGTTTTCTTGTTCTTGTAAATTCTTGATTTGTTAGTCGATCCCATGATTCCATATTTTCATTAAATACATGACTTCCATCAGGACCATGAAATTAAAATGGACTATTCTTATATTTTAGGGAAATTTTATTATATTTTAATTTTTTTTTTTAAAGTGCCCTCATAATGTTTAATTAAAAACATTAACATATCCACACTGTCTCAACATCTTTTTTCTAATGGCATGCGCTCCGGTTCAAGAACTGTGTAATAAATGTTGTCCAATGGCCAAATGAGTTTCAACACTTTTCCTCAAGCAGCCACTCACATAAAACATTCATCTATTCAGTTTGCATCACCCACTTTCTATAATCCAATCAATTCCCAAAACACAAAATCAAATTCCACCCCACATTTTTTTTTCTTGTTTGAAAAGCCATTTCATTTGAATATATATGTCACAACAGCAAAGAAAATTTGGTTGCAATTTTCATTTTATAGTGATTTTAAGTGTTATGTGCTTATTTGCCCTCGGCATGAAAGTGTCACAGAAGCATGATTTTTATGATGGTTTATATATAGCAAAAAGCAGGACGTGTGCATGGGATTGTAGCAAGAAAAATTGTTGGTTAATTTAAATGTTCAATAACAGAATTCACAGGATTCTTTGGAAACAATACAGTAAATATACATGAATGAAAAGAGTCATTTGTGTGCATTCAATCCATAGAGTTGAATGCATCAGTCAACACTGACGTGAGCCATGTGACAGGGCCTGAAGAGGAATCTCACTCTCCATCTCGTTGTTTCCTCCTTTCCTTGTCTCTATATATGTTTTCTTGTCCTTTCTCAGAATCAGTCTCTCATTCTCCTTACAGCCCCAAAAGACTGTAGCTCTACAGTGCAATAACACGTTTAATCTCATTGTGAGGTGACATGAGTCTAGGAGGAGGAAGCTATTTCATATCACAGCTTTAATTAAGACAATCACTCCCCCTACAAACGCAGCTCAGAGACATCTGTGTGTCTGCGTGTTTTTATTGGTCTGGTTCTGAGAATAACTGTTTATTGCTGTCTGTTTTGACTAATCGTTCACTTTCGTTTCAAGCTTAAATTTTTTATCAGTCATTGCCAATTTGCTCAGTGTCTTTCTCTCCTGCTCTCTCTCCGTTTTCCTGGCTGTCTATCTGTTTGTCTCTCATTCTCTCTCTCTCTCTCTCCAGTATTCTCCGGAGCCTCCTGTGGATCCTCGGGTCAAGCTGTCAGATCGATAACGCCACAGGAAAGTGCCATTACTTTGCGTGTGTGCAGGTGGTGTGTTTTCAACATCAAACGCAGATCCTCCAAACACCGAACCAAACAGTGTCTCAGTGACAGTGAGTGGATGTGCATGGGAACACAGGCAGGCATATGTGCTCCTGAATGTGTGTGTGCATTAATTCACAGCTCTACTTTTCCTCTTCCTTTTAAGATATAATAGTTCAATCTTAAAGGTTGTATATGCCATGGTCTAATGGTCCATTCACTCTCTGGAAAAGGAAGGTGTAATAAGTGTGAGATTTATATACAACTTCATATACTATACCCAGTGGCATCATATACATATATACACTTTTTAAGAAATTAATACTTTTATTGAGCAAGAATGCATTAAACTGATCAAATGTGACAGTAAAGACATTTATAATGTTGCAAAATATGTCTATTTCAAATAAATGCTGTTCTTTTTAAACTTTCAATTAAATCAAAGAATCCTAGGGAAAAAAATAAAAATATTAAGCAGCACAACAGCTTTTAAAATCGATAATAATGTTTCACAAATCATCATATTATAATGATTTCTGAAGGATCATTTGACTCTGAAGAGTAGAGTAATGATTGCTGAAAATTCAGCGGTCATCACAGGAATATATACAATTTTAAAATATATAAAAATAGCAAACAGTTATTTAAAATTGTAATAATATTTCACAATATTACGGTTTTTACTATATATTTGTTTATCAAATAAATGCAGCCTTGGTGACATAAAAGACTTCTTTATAAAGCTATTAAATATATACTCCGATCAGGCATAACATTATGACCACCTTCCTAATATTGTGTTGGTCCCCCTTTTGCTGACAAAACAGCCCTGACCAAATTGCATTATCCTGCTGGAAGAGGCCACAACCACCAGGGAATACTGTTTCCATGAAAGGGTGTACATGGTCTGCAACAAAGCTTAGGTAGTTGGTACATGCCAAAATAACGTCCACATGGATGGTAGGATCCAAGGTTTCCCAGCAGAACATTGCCCAAAGCATCACACTTCCTCCGCCGGCTCGCCTTCTTCCCATATTGCATCCTGGTGCCATGTGATCCCCAGGTAAGCGACGCACATGCACCCGGCCGTCGTGATGTAAAAGAAAATGTGATACATCAGACCACACCACATTCTTCCATTGTTATGCAGTCCAGTTCTGAAGTCATGCCCACTGTTGGCGCTTTCGGCGGTGTACAGGGGTCAGCATGGGCACCCTGACTGGTCTGTGGTTATGCAGCCCCATACACAACAAACTGTGATGAACTGTGTATTCTGACACCTTTCCATCAGAACCAGCATTAACTTCTTGAGCAATTTGAGCTATAGTAGCTTGTCTGTTGGATCAGACCACACGGGCCAGCCTTCACTCCCCACGTGCATCAATAGGTGCGTTCGACTTCAAGCACGGCTACAGACGGCAGTCAACAAGAGTAGCCGCTTGCAGTCGGGGGCGGAGTTGAAAACGGAGTCGTCACGTTGGACACTTTCTGCTTCCGTTAGTGACGCTTGCGCGGTGTTTGCATACTCTATCACAGATGAAGTGAATTAAATGCAATTATTTGTCAAATATACAGATGTTTCAGAAACGTTTTCACGAGCAACAGATATATACTGATTATATAGGACTACGTCTTAATACATCGCCATCTGTTCAAGAATAAAGTTCAACGTAAACATATACTATTTAAATACTAATAAAGTGGGGGAATATATGTTTTCATCAGTGTTGTATGATAAACGTGACTCAATATAACATTGCGACTACAGTAAAAAAGCTGTTCTAAAAACAGATTTGTGGCTATTATTGGAATTTAAAAGGTTAGAATAAACCCGAAACACACGTGATAGTTGTCATGCAGTGAATCTGGCCAATCGTGAAACGGCTGTGTCGTCATCAACGCTCCTGCAGCCACTCTGGAGAAACTGAGCCGGCTAGAGTCCTTACCAGGTCAAGAAAATATGATCATATTACCCCAATTTTACAGTCTCTGCACTGGCTACCTATTAAATTCCGTATCAGTTACAAAATATTATTACTTGCCTATAAGGCCCTTAATGGGTTAGCTCCTGCGTACCTAACTAGTCTTCTACCACGCTACAATCCATCACGCTCCCTAAGGTCGCAAAACTCTGGACTTTTGGTAGTACCTAGGATAGCAAAGTCCACTAAAGGAGGTAGAGCTTTTTCGCATTTGGCTCCCAAACTCTGGAATAGCCTTCCTGATAACGTTCGGGGTTCAGACACACTCTCCCTGTTTAAATCTAGATTAAAGACACATCTCTTTGGCCAAGCATTCAAATAATGCATCTCATAATCTTTTACTGCAG